CTGTGATTTTATCCAGGAAGGAAATATGCAGCTTTCAGGATGCAACTGGATTCGGCAGCATTCTACACAAATTTGACGCGTCAACTTTTGACAAACCATCACTAAAATTTATAAGACGCATTGGGATTAGATCAAAGTCAATATACTAAAACTATCTGGTCCTGCTACGCCCGCGATTTAATAAGTTTGGGCAAAGTAAAGTCCCATTAAACCTTTATTTCAATAAACAGATATTCATTCGCTCATTTGTGAGACAGTATCCGATTACGCAGCCCAGGGTTGCACAGAAAAATTTCCTTGTGCCTGGGTCCCAAACGGCAAATCGACTCAAACAATAGTGAGAGAATCCTTTTCTAAGGACAACAGGAAGTTCGAAACTGACCTGTGTGGGTCACTGATCGCTTAAATTTTACCAAACTTCTGTTGTTTTACAAACCAATTCGTGGAATTTAATAGACTCAGGTCAATTGAGCTCAGGGGTCAATGCAACAGCATTCGCTTTTCCATTACGCACCTCCTGACTTCCAAAATTTTAGACAAAGTTCACTTTGTAGAATTACTCTGTTATAAACGAAGTGGTAATATCAAGAGTCCCGTGAATAGATTTACTAAGATTTACTAAGATTTACACATGACAGGAATAAGTTTGAACAACACGGTGTCCTCATAAGGTCATTTGGCCTGTGCACTAAAAAAATAAATGTGCAAACGTGGCTAAAGATAAACATCCAACTAAACATTGGATTATTGTTAACAGGAAACTCGATTGAATCCCAACGTAATTCCTGGAGTGCAGTATTCTTCAGTTGAATGTGTAGCACGAAGGTCACCTCGTTTTTAACTTGCGAGATATCGAAGTATTTTTCTTGTTGTAACCCACACCCTATTTGGTTGCTCATCAGGTGAGAGCTGAATTCGAACTTGACTGCCAAGTTGTCCTCAAGTAATCTCATGCCAAGTCTGGCTGGAGTTGTTTAGTAAACGTCGAAATGAATCATCCGAAATTTGATTGCTTGTGTTCAACTGAAGCAAGAGGCGGACTATTAACGTGTATTTCCGTTACTGAACATTCGGTTTGATCTTCCAAAACTCACTACTATTTACTTGGGATCGCGATGGTTCTTGGCCTTTTTCCACACCTCTTAGCTCGTGTGGTTTCTTGATGCTGAACTCTTTAGTGTTTTTGGACATCTTACTCCCACACTGAAGTTTTGCAGCTCTATTGATATGGTATACTCTCTAATGACTAAAACAAGACTCTTAATTATCAGTGGGTCCACCGGATGGACGAAGTGCAATTGACTTTATTTGATACAAACTTTGAAATTGCAGATTTTATTTCCAAGATTTAGTGTTAAATAGACGAATTTTAGTTCCCACTGCGCGTCAACGAAATAGGATCATTCTCTTTTCAGGTCTGGTTGTGTCATCTTCCTATAAAAAACTGACGTTTTTAGTGTTGCACAAATCCTGTCGATATCTGAAGTTGATGCCTTAAGGAAGGAAACGTCGCTTTCCCTTACGGATTGAATGAATCAACAAAGCGTTCAAAACAGAAGCCAATAATAATATATTCCATCCACCATAAATTCCAACACATCTACCATAGAAGGATAGGAAAAGCACTTCTAAAACTGTTCACTTGTCTTGTCTCCAGATGTAACTTATTTGGTTATATTGGAAAAACATCGAAAAATATCCGGTGTGCAGCTGAATTATAAAACCAGCCGTAACATTTTTCATTAGAATTCCACCGGTACTAAGTTCGTTTGAGTGACAATTTGTCAGCGGGTAGCCGGAACAGTCCGAAAAAAAGCGGCAAACAAAGACGGCTAACACAAAAAAACCAAAGTTTGGAAAATAGGTTCGCTAACGTCATTAGACTTCTGGGTTTAACCTGAAAGGAGAAGTCTCGTACGATGTATTCCGAGTGATCATGCTCAACCGTTCCATAAATTTGCCCCAATTTTCTTGGCAATTTTGACGATATCTCGAACAACGTTATTCACTAGCTGAACAATATTGCGCATCTCAAATTCGGAGTCCCCTTCAACATGGTTGACTGATATGCGGGCATTGCTCAAGGGTTTTCATCTGACGATATCTCGAACAACGTTATTCACTAACTGCTGAACAATATTGCGCATCTCAGATTCGGAGTCCTCTTCAACATGGTTGACTGACATGCGGGCATTGCTCAAGGGTTTTCATTCGAGCTAAGATTGAACTATGAGCCGACCACACTTATGCGGTCAAATTAAAACCACTTCCACTGAGCTTCGGGCAAAGGGATCTTTGTCTGAGTAATGACATTGCCTTTTCAGGTCTTTCCCCCAGCAAAGAGTAGGTGGGTGACAATGAGAATTCCAATATTCGGGTACACACACTGGATTCGCGAATTGTTTCCTGTATCATTCATTCACCCAAACTCAACAAACTGTGTGTTCCTTGCAACTTTCTGGCCCATAGATAAGAAATTTTTCATGTCGCTAAACATATCTTCACTTTATACCTGCGTACAGACAACAGATGATCTAGTCTTATAGAGAGAGCTTTATATTTTACGATTTTTGCCTTATACAACCAAAACCACACCGAAACCAGGAGATATGCTCTTTGGTTAGGTGCGTTTCCAGTTAGGTAAAAAGCAGCTTTGGCTGTCGAATTAGCAAATTACCACTAGTGAATCATACCAAGGATTCTGGTGCATAAACTTTGTCAGTTACTACCACAGTGGAATTTAGCGCTTCAACAAGAATCCAAGCAGTGGACGCATCAAATAATGAGACGCCCATGCTCTACCATGTAAATGGTTTGATCGCCCATGTTGTTTTGTAGCATCAATCCATTTGGTGAAACATGCTAGTGCTGATGACTTGGTTGGAAGGTGTTCGGAGAAGACGGATGAAAAACGCCTGTGCATATATGCTTCAACAACAGTTATCCTTTGCACTGTTATAATTTTGTCTCAAATAATTTCCCATTTTAGGCGCTGCCGAGTAAATGGCTCTGAAACATGCAGTCCCTATTGCTCAGCTGATGAGATATCGCAAAACATGATTGTCACATAAAATAGACGTCCACTTTTGTTACCTTTAGTGAAACGTCAATTGAGTCCGTCATTCAGCTTCACCAATGGACCGCACGGAGCGTGTCTTCTTCAAGTATTGCTATGCCGTCGCATAAATAAACAACGTTTCGGAGTTGAAGTTCACCCCCTGAACACAGGATGCAAAGAACAGTTCTACGGATAAATGCCGGAATGTAATTGGATGGACTTATTAAAATGAATGTACATTGGTTTAGTTGTTCAATTTTCTGCTAGTTCCACTTAGGACTACGCAATCGGCCTTTTGAGAATTTGATAATCCATCGAATATAATACAGTCGGTAGATCCAACATTTTGCCGATAAAAGCACAACACCGCCTTTTCATTAGACAGCCTTGTTCAAACAATATTTTGTCCTCTAATAAACTCCACGACATGTGCGTCAAACAGTGTTCTCTTGCAAGTCTGTAGAGAAAATTACCCCCGGTCTCTTCCTGCGGGAAGTAGACCAACAGATCAGTTTATTGATTATTTTATGTTGAAAGCCCAGACGTTGCTCAGCCTATCAAGCCCACAACTGATCCTGGGTGTTACTGGGCCCCGGCTCAAAGCCTGAAACATTGGTAACAGCATATTCTCAGACAGCATATTCTCAAAATCGTGAACCCAAAAATACTTGAGCGGGTCATCCTTAAGTTGAACCATCCACGCGTGCTGTGGACGGCCTTTAGTTTACGTTCAAAATCACAAGGATAATAAATAATTTTGTTCCAGGATTACATCAAATGAGGACAGACGAATATATGACAAACTACTCCATGAGTTTCTTACAATAACTGGACTTTTTTCCAGCTGATCAACACGCTCTACAGAAGTTTTCTTTAAACTCGAAAAATTCATTGCCACTGGCATCCTTGATGGCAGTTCCGGGGAGACTTATATCCTTCATCTCGTTGAAAAATCGCTAGCTTACGTTTTAGCTCAAGTTTATGGGTAGAAAAGACTAGTCAACTGACAGAATGGCATTGAAAATTAACATTCTACCTATGAATACAGATTTAAGAGCACAAATGGTTGTTGGTGGTTTTACATCCGAGCGCCGCATCCATTTTTTTCTACACAGTGTCACCCCCATTGTATGTAGAGCAACTTTTTTGAAATTGGTCTGAAGCGGACGAATAGGGAAAATTTGTTGTTGGAAAATTTCTTGTTTGTTTTTGGCTCGTCCATTGTAGAAACTAATCTGTGCCAATGTGGTCAGCTTACTGTTTTCATAATTGAGCAGCTTTTACTGCGTTTTTCTTGCTGTTCTGTGATTTTATCAAGCTCACGGGACATAAATCACAGAAGGTGTGATGTGACTGTGCGTGTTTAAAGGGCTGAACAGTGTATCGCAAGCAAAGCCTCACATGGACGTAAATGCTCTAATGTCCCAACTGATTTATTATTTGAAAGGAACAATGTGACACGTAAAATGAAAGACGTTTACGTACACTTTATCAACCTTCTCCAAACAAAACAACGTTGGGAGATGTGAATGAGTGTGTCTCAAAATAAAAGAGGAAGTCGAAGTTGGATAGTGAAAAATAGGTTTCGGAATTTGAAAATTTGTTTTGACGGCGAGGACAGCTAGAATGTCTGCTAACTATCTGTAATTTTATCGCTCACGTGTAAATCAACAGATTTGACGTCTAGCTTTACGTTTATCTTGCTCACTATCAACGTACTTCATTTGTTCCAAATCAACCGGAAGCTTCATTAGATGTAACGAATGTGTTCCATCTCTTGGCCGTCCTCAAGGCACTGAATGCCAACTTCCGCAGGTGTGTGAAGTTCTACGCGAAGCTCTCGCCTGAATTCACCACATCAAGTAGTGTCAGGCAGCTTGGTGCCTTTCCGCTTCAGCTTCGTCATTCACGCGATTATGGGAGTTTCACTACCAGCCTCTAGTTTGTGTGAGGTTGAAGTGTTCACAGATATCGAGTACGCAGACGATATAGCTATTCTTGGTAACGCAAACAATAATAAATAATTTGAATAATCCTGCCTCACGGTTTGGCATGAGCTTCACGCCAGCGAATGATAAAGTAATAATGCATGGCTGGATGGGGTAGAACTCTAAAATCACGCTCGCAGATGAGCCGATTGAGTTAGCTGGCAAGTTTGTCTACCCGGGCGGCTGTACCAGTCCCGGTAGTCTCGCGAAAGATGATATTTCCATCCGGAGTGGGAAGACCAGAGCAGCTTTCGTGACCTTACATCACCCGCGGCGTGCGAGTTACACCCGCCTATCCGCCGAGGACCGAGTTTACAATACTGCGGTGCGCTCCATACTATTGCACGGGTTAGAAACCTGGCCTCTGCATGCCGGGGATGTCAAAAATCTTTCACTAATCGACCTTCGATGTCTTCGCAGCATTGTCCGAATCTGGTGGTAACAAGTCACTCCGGTGGAACGAGTCAGGGAGGCCAGACAATAACTTGGGAGCGAGCTCTGAAAGTCCTTATCAGCAAAATCAGTTGTGCTTGTCATTGCCGTCTCCTTGGATGGGGACCTCGGGATGGAACACATCAATGTTTAGAGATATTGTCAGACATGGCCCAATCGCGCCGTCAATGGCGTTATGCATCCATGCAGTGCATAGCTCCCTTCCCAACCCACCAACAAACCGCCCACTGACAGTGCTGTATTTACGCACTAATTTATCAGCTCTCGCCTCCAATGCGCAGCTACCTTCCCCACCTCCCAAAATCATTGGTTTACGAAACCGTGGCAGCTATAACCGCTGTACACTAAGTATGCGGTTCTTAAAGCTGATGATGATGATGATGATGAGGATGATGATGATGATGATGATTGTGATCTCCGTCACCTACCGCATCAAAATACAAATCTATATGCAGGCCGGTCTTTCCCATACATTTCTCAGCAATATGTATAAGGGCAAGAGACTTTACTACAGCATGAGGATACTTACGTTCTACTGTGAAAATGCTTGCAGCACAGGCATCGTGTGAACTTCGAGCACGAGGGGCATCCTAAAAGTTCAAACTGGTTATCGTAGTTCATTTCATTTTTTGAATTTGACAGCATAGAGTTATCTCAAATTCAGTGATGCGGCGTGCAAAGCGGGCCAGTATGTTGTCATTTATTAGGATTTCACGTGAAAACTGGAGGTACCTTACGGTGAAGTTAAAGTCGGTCAATTCATCAAACTCCGACAGGGATGAAGTACAATTTGATAACCTCCACTAAATCGAAATTCATTGCGTGAGCCCACCTAGTTACCCACCCAGCATTTATGAATTTTCAGTGCTCAGGCGTAGAGATAACTCTGTTCCAGGCTGATGCCCCACTACGGTGTGCCAGAATACGACTTATAGGTTGGATTTAAAGTTTGAGCGTATTCAGTAGCAAACAAGTTGTCTCACTGTGAGACACCCAACTTCAGTCAAATTATTGGACTGTCACATCAGCTGCATGAGTGATGGTCCGTCAACTAGAGGAATGTCGTGGTGATACACACATTTTATCACCTTCCTGTCCCAACTTGAACAAAGCTTGACAATGATGCTCCTGCTTATTACTCCAGAGCACGCGGATGGTAACCAATATCCCTCATCTGATACTTAGTATTTGTCTGATGGTATCCAATAACGTAGTTGTTCTGGGACCCATCTCCACATTTACAAACTAACAATTGTATAGCTGCATTGGCCATGATAACCGCGCCTCAGATTCCAATTCTTCCGCAGTGATTTGGGTCATATTGTGATTTTATGGGTGTGTTGCTTCTCTAGTGTTACCTTACGGAATAATAACATTCGAGCAGATATTCTTAGGAGAGTGCTTGCCATCCAGGTGAGCCCAAAACAGACACCTCTCATCGTCATTATGTGGGCCCGAAATCTCGTCTCTAATGCTCATCCAAAGGAAACCGCGTAGGAGTGATTACGCTATCAAACTGTGCAAGGCTTCATCTACCATGACAACATGCATTTCAAGCCGTTTCACTTTTGTGGAACAGGGTTTGCTGTCCGCCAAGCCCTATTACAAAATCTAACAGTCACATGCAAAGCAGATTTTGCAACGTCAGTTTCACAAGAATGCTGAATGTCTACTTACCCATCTGTCGTGGTACATGAGTGATTTCCGCTCTGTTGTTAGTTTAGTTACACTACATCTTCCGCCAACTTCGACCAGCAGTTTGCAGCTTGTTGTAGTCTTTCACAATTATGGCAGACGTCTGGACGGTGATACTGATGTATCAGTCTGAAAGTTATGGTCCACCTTTTCAGTTAAGGTGAAACGTCAACTGACAGTAGCAAACTGTTAAAAGACTCCGGAAACGCTACCGAGAACATTATTTTGAAAAAAATCACATTACCTTCCGTGATTCAATGCAAAAGGATGCAGATGTAGTTAACTGAATTACAACTGCTGGAACAAATTTACTTTGAAAATTTGAAGCTAATAATACAACAATAAGTTGAAGGTTCATTGGGTCAGTTATTCTGCGACCGATGAAACAAATATCGGCAAATCGACCTCGAAGAATGCAATGCGATGTGCCGGACGAGGACTAGTGGATTTTGGTGAATGTCATAAGTATTTATTTCGATGAGGAAAGCGTTTTCCTAGCTGGGGGTTGTTGAAATCTATCCACTGGCTATCACTATGGAAATGTTCTGGAACAAAGATACTTGGCCATTTTTCTGAGGATGTACTTGATGTTTTACCCGTGACATAAGGTGAAATCGCACTTTGGGCACTGTAACCATAGGACAACACAGTAAAGTTGATTGTCTTGTGCCGATGAAGGATATGAAGTAATCTTCAAGGTCATTTAGCCCCTGAAATACCGATCAGTTGAGAGATATAAAGTTTTCAATCCAGAATTCAGAAATCTTCAGCAACGGCAGATTTCAGTCTAAATTGGCTAAATTTAATTTATATATAAGTCAGTTAGTTAGTTACTAGGTTTCGGACGCTCTCCGTGTCCAGAAAGTTAACCTGAAATCATTTATTTTGTACAACGTTAGTCTTACTAACGTCTGCTGCTCTGTGCGAGACATTTCTTCACAGATGTATCCAGGCTAAAATCTACTAATCCTATGTTTCAGAGGTCATATAGCCGCCACTGAAGTCTGGTGAAACGCCGGATTGTTTTCTCATGAGAAATATGGTTTGGCCAGAGTTATCGCTAGGTAAAATGAGCGTTTAAAAGCGTCTGTTCGAGATTGTTAAAGTGTAATCTCAAAATATAACAGAACAAACGTCGTCAAATACACACTGGATAGTCCAAGACACAGTGAACATTTTCAACCAGCTGGAGTGCGAACCATTTCTGTCATCAGAGCACTCTCTTTTATCCCGAAACGGTTCTCCTTGGACTTGGAAACGAGACTTGATTCGCCTCTGTGAGGATACCCTCGAATTACCCGCCTGAATTACCGTCTTGAAACAAGACTGTTTTGCTCAAGAACTGTTGTGCAAAAAGTGCGTGAAGGTGTGCTATTTAGGTGGATCTAGGCGCATACACCCACCGGGCTCGTATTACCAGAGGCGCAATATGCTGTCAATCGATCGTGCACAGAAAATCATGGGAATTTGAACAGCAATTGGTTGGCCAACTATAGCCAGCTGACAATCAAGGTCATTCGCCGACGAACGCTTATACGCTGTCTTGCGCTCTCATCCTATTGGTGCACCAACAATGTTACTGGTACTCCTATCCTTACACACCTGTGATTGGCACGACCATTGGGTTTCCTTCTGGAGTCGGCAGCCCATGGTGTCTACTCAATAAGCGACCCAAGGTCCCGATAAGTTTGAGTGCCAAAGACTGCGTGGGACCTACTGCCCGGTGTTTTGCTTTTGCCGCAGGTAATCGGTAGCGCACAACTTGGCCATTTCGTCTAACCCGCTGATGCACAGTAATCTTCACCTATTAACAGGAGGAAATGCTCAAATTGTCTAACTATTGATATTCACATGGAGCTGGGCGCCAGGTTTGGACGATATACAAACAATGCCTGGTTAGGTATCTTGTTTGACCCTTTCACTCTGGAATGTTTCATAACGGGAACAGCAGTTGTCGCATAATATATGAAACAGCAAAACGGTCCACATATAAGGAATAAAACTGCGGCACCATGGCGATAGAATCAAGCCTAGCATGAAAAGCAGCAACCGTTATGCTATTTTTAAGCCAAATTAAAGCACTTGCAACGAATGTGCTCAAGAGAGACTCAGAAGCAATGAACTAGGTACACAAGGACAAGATATGCATGAAGGTGCCTAAAAACCCACGATGAGCTACCTACTTTCGTGGATCTTTACTACATACATACCGGTTAAGTTCATCCTAAAGTCTAATGACGGATAGGAAGGGCAATCGAAATTTGTTGTTTGTATTCGTTTGTTTATTCCCCATGTTCTACTAGACTCTGACATGATGCAGGCCTGAATGACCCAAAATTGCACCTGATGGAAGTTTGGGTCTTAACTACTCAGTTGTATCGACTTATGATGCCATCTTGTGAAGCATACTGGTAATCTTATTAGTTCGAAGAGTCTAACAGAAGTAGGTTATTTAGGTCGCTAAACATGCAACTTTACTTGGTTGAACAACTTGGAATAGGTCAAGAATCTATCATTGATAATGCTGACTGACTGGTTTATGTTGTTAACGCATTGATTATATGCATCATTACAATCATTTTGAGTGTGGGACTGCCACTTGTTTAGCTGTCAGCCAAACAATCTGAATGATGCCTTTGGTCGCTTTCAAGCCCTACAAGCCTCCTCACAGAACTGCGTGGATACGCGACGTTGCGGTGCAAAACCAGAAACCTGGCTACTACAGCGGGTATTTTATCATTACACCTGGGGATCGCAGACGTATCACCCTCTGAGGTACGATGCTCATGAACTGTATGAAGTCCACGACTGTTAGCTTCATTCACTGAGATACACCCAATCAACTGCTGTCATGTTTGACCGCAATTGTCTTTGATTTATTCACTTAGCTAAGCCGTTTTGTTGCGAACATCTCATCACGGTGCCGGTGACACTGTCAGTGCAACGTTGTGTAGTACGGCCTTGTCGTGCATCAGCAACTGACGCACATTTGTAAACAAACTGCCTAGCTCATCACAGAAAACAACATATTTTCCAACGGCAAACCTAGTCATATTTGGTCGTCGTGTGGTGTAATTTTCGCCAATCCATGTGAGGAAAAGTTCACGGAATATTTTTTCACTAAAAACTTATTAAAGCAAACCATAGTCAAAGGCTGTGGAGTACATCTTGAACACATGCGGTAATTGTAGGGATAATTAAATCTCAAAAGTAATTTTAGCCAAGACTGATGACGTGATCCTTCTAACTACCTGGCTTTCAAATTTGTGCGCACATTGGGAGTCCAAGATATCTCGATCTGTCCCACAAAGCGAATCTACACAGAAGGATGCTGAAAACCAAACTGGCGTGTAAATGAGTGTGCTTCGCGCGTTGAACCTTTCCACCTAAAGCATAAGTGACGTAGAAATTTGAACTTGTCTCTAAACCAGTTACACCATCCCATTTGGTTGCGATATGCCGTGAGTCGCATGGCAGTGACGCTCTTATAGTAACCTAGGCTGTCGATGGATAATGAAGTCTAGCCAAATTTGATGTGTGCTAAGAGCCACAGTTTGAATGATCACTTGTCCGGTCTTGAAAGGGTTTGATTTAAAACTTGAGCAGATAAAGTTGAAAATTACGGTACGAATAGAATATTAACCTTAGCATGCATCAAGCATGCTATGCGCATTAATTAACTAGTAAATAGTTTTCCTTAAGATCGACCATCTCATTATTGCATGGCTTGTGAGACCTGGGTATTATTAGTCACTGCGATCTTAATTCGTCGGTAACTTACACGGTTTGGATTGGTTGGCTCGTGTTCCACTAATAAAAACTATAAGTTCCCAACTGCTCTTGCATCCATTGTTAGAGTTTTGATTCCGAAAAATCTCAATAGCCCGGCTTTTAGAAGTGAATAGATTCTTCTCCGTTGTCGAGTTACTGAATTCACCACATCTGCCCCATATTCAAATTTCAACTAGCCCAGTGACTCACCCGTGTTATTGCTTCAAATTTTGCCAAATTGTCCGACCTATACTAGTCCGCACACAAAACCACATCTGCATTTAAACGACTTGTTCAATTTGGAAGGTAGGTTGAATCGTCCAGCTGTGCGTGGCTGAAATATTTGCCTTAAAGCGGGTTGTAGCTGATTCCGGCCATTCCATATTCGATTTTCACAGACCTCTTATCCCAGAATTAATGTAACACAAAAAGCATCGAAATATCGTTCCTTTAGTGCAAACTGGTGAAATTGTTACTTCACAGTTTAAAGATAGGGCAACAAGAAATAATGAATTCTATAGAGGCTGATGACAGACCCGCGAAGGCTAAATATCTTTGTTGCACCTTTTTGTGTTTTAAAGGTATTCAAAGCTGGAAATTAATTGATAGATCAAGGCCTAAAAATCAAGCAATGGACGGTGTTTTATGACGCTGATGACTAACCGCTACAAACTAGGCATTTTGTAGGCGGCATCCTTCAAACATCCAAGTGGTTTTGAAATAGTCACCAAAAATGCGCGTCCAAAGTACCTCACTGCGCAATTAGAAAAGATAAGCTGAAATTCTACGCTCCGTAGGTGGATCACCGACAAGTCTGGTTTACTTGTTTTTCAAGGTTGTCTGCACACCGACAATAACAAAAATGCGCGTCTCCAATGGATAGCTTTGTGGTATGGCTTCTGCCGGATTCAACTCCACTCAGTCTTCTTTGAAATAAAATTCCTTGCGGACCGGGTGCTATTTACCGCTCATGAGAAGATTGATTTGGAAAGCTTTTTAAGTGTGAGTAGTAGACAAAGTATCCAGATATTCACGCGAATTTCAATAAGTGTGTGACTTTGAAAGACAGGAAAGGCTTACCTAACAAATCGGCCCCGGTTAGTTATGTTTTTACACTATAATATAACTATGGGCAGCGGGAGTTAATGGGAAAATACCAGGGCTTACTTTGATAAGCACCGGCTGGCCAGTCGTGCATTCTCATGATGATACACAAATGTGAATAGGTTTCAGTNGTGCACACTCTCAAATTTGTGCCTTAAATTCTCACATTTGACCTCTGATTTGACAAGCTTTTTTGCTTCAAAAAACACTTTCCTTTGCAAAATAACTTGGTTTTGACAATGAAATCAGCTGAATGTCGCTTGTAATGGTCCTATTCAACTGAATATGCTGCACCGAATGACCATAGCGTTCAGCTTGACAACATCACCACTTGGTTTTTATGAAGATTTCACTAAATACTTTTCATCTCATCTACTTAATTCGGATTCAAAAACAGGCGTCCTGTATTCGAATTAAGCGTTATGACATTGCGTGCTTGAAAGATTCCCTCTACTTCATCAAAGCTCAGTCCGCAGACTTGAAAACTGGTACTTACTTAGATGGTGCTCAGTCAAACGTTGAATGCGCTTGCTCAAAAACACGTTTGGAATTACCGCAGGATGCGCATGCACACCGAGAGCTCAGTGCACTATACTGCCGTACTAACTTCTCTCCTCTATAGGAGCAGAACATAGACACTGTACCAACGGAAAATAGCGTTTGATAAATTTTCGACTTTAGATACTCGGCCGTTAACAGCGGCTGAATCTCTAGGTGCCTTCGTATGTCTATGATCGAACAAGTGGTCTGGATGTGGTACGGTGGGTTGGCTTGGGAGCGTTTGACGCCGGGTGCTTTGGCTTTTGAAAAAAGATGTGTTACACTGCCCCCAGAATTTCCGTGATCCAGTTTTATTGCCCTTGTAACATAAAAAAGTTGATTAAGATAGACTTGCTTTTTTATCTGACCAATTTTGACTCTGTTCTACTGATTGACAGATCGTCTGCAAATGGATGCTTGGTATCCAGACACTTCCTCAACCTCAGCGAATTTATTGTTGGGGGTTCGGCTGTGCGCCTAGTCACACACCAGATCTTGATTTCTAGTCAATAGTTGGAGATTCTAGTTTCATGCTTTACTTCGTAACGCAAAAAACCTATGTGAAGAAGTCAAAAAGCACTGCAAAGCTGTTGAATCTTCAGTGGAAATCAGGCCTCACCATAAGCCCGCACAGCCTTCCGAATCTAAAATTTCTGTGGCTTCAGTACCGACTCTGGACGCAAATTGCCTAACTGACAGCCTCCAGAAGTAGGGCGCCACCCAGGCCGCGCCCCATGATACGCATCAAGGCACCTGGTGTTTCTTTTTCTGTGAGCTCAAGTGAATTCCATTATCTGGTAATTTCATCCCATCTATAGGGTATGACAGAATGTGCTCCGCGTTGATTAGCGCTTTGCTACCTGCCTCCAAGAATACAAAGACCAAAAATAACATACACATAGGGATAACGGATATTCTATTGTTCAAAAGGACAAAAACATACACTAGGTGTAAAGCGCAAACTAGTGAAATGAGATATCAAATGGTGAGGGACCGCTACTAGGCCATTCATAGGAATTTAGGGATATTTTCCCAGCTATTGCTGGAGCTGCAAAATAGACATTTTTGAATGTACTGTTCCCATTGTGTACGAGGGAACAATGGACGTAACAAATAACAGGCACGATAAAGAATCGTGTGGAAGTGTATGCTAGTAAAAGTTGGTTGAAGAATGTCAGTCTCTCTCGTAGTGGAAGGGACACAAAATGTGATGCTCACAAACCGTTTTACAAGTATAGCTGTGCACTCAACAACAATTGAGCAATTTTATTTTGCATTTTCGTTTAACAGATAGGCCAACTCGTTGTACAGCGGCATTTCCTTGCAGAAAGTGAACACCTGCTCAGTAGTAGAGTTGAAGCAGAACGGAGGTGTCAGACGGGTGCGCAAAAGAAGAGCGAATGACAGACATGAGTTGGCAAGATCTGCAGGTAACCGGAAGGATCAACAAAACAGCTTGACAGAAAAGTTCTGCTCTTGACCACATGGGTTGCATGTACTGAGCAGAGTGAGACCTCAAAAACTAAACTCAAGCAGTGGACGGAAAATAGCAAATGAAGTAGGCGAACACACAACAGCAAAACGAAAGAAATACTGGGCTGTGGAGCTACACGCTCAGGGCAATATAAAAAAACGTTGATCAGAATATCACTGCGAAATCAGATGAGTTAGAAATTTGCATGTGATTACACACCAACTTCTTCTGGTTTTTCTACGCATTACACACCGACTTCGGCTGGTTTACTAAACGAAGCGGGATGATTGACGGCTGACTTAGAAAATAAGAGTTCGGGTAGTCAGTGAGACTAGAGTGAAGATCATCTGGTCGAGTGAAACGAAGCAAAGACAGCATCTCAGCACACAGCAATAGGGTTAAAGTCTGTACAAGAAGAAATAACAATAAGACTTGAGCTGCGCAATATTATAATGATGCGAAAATTTTCACGGACGATTACATGGCAACATCAAAAACATGGATAGTTGTTGGGTGGAGAGTGCGAGTTCTAGATAAGGATGGGGCCACACGACTGAGGCGACCGAAGTGGGCGTTGAGCACGGCTAAACGGATATCGCATTGGGATTATGTGAGCGGATGTAACAATTCATTGTTCGGATGGACTGTTTCGTGAAAAGCGATTGACTACCACTAAGAAGATAGGTGCGGCTACAAGTGTGCTCTGTAGGCGTAGGGAGTGGACAGGATCGGAGGAATGTAGAGACCAGATAGAACAAACAGTTTTACAGTGAAATATTCTCTACTTCAAGATGGAATCTGATAGAAAGAGTTATAACGGATACGAGTGCTACTCGGAAAACGCAGTAATCACTTCTCGTCCGGTACCACGAACAAGCAGCACACGTGTGAGGCCTTCTGTGAGTGCTTCAATGTAGTCCATGTAGTAGTATTCGCTACCGGGACTACGAGAGGGAGTGGGCATGTTCACTATGACGAGGTCTGCGTCACTAGAATGCGTACGCAACAGTTCGTTTAGGCGAGCGGCGCTATGCATTCGACGTTCCATCTTTGATCTACAAGGAGAAAAAGAGGAAGTTTAAATATGAAAAAAATAAACGGATCCTTTCGTGATTGTGAAGGACAAAAACATACACTAGGTGTAAAGCGCAAACTAGTGAAATGAGATATCAAATGGTGAGGGACCGCTACTAGGCCATTCATAGGAATTTAGGGATATTTTCCCAGTTATTGCTGGAGCTGCAAAATAGACATTTTTGAATGTACTGTTCCCATTGTGTACGAGGGAACAATGGACGTAACAAATAACAGGCACGATAAAGAATCGTGTGGAAGTGTATGCTAGTAAAAGTTGGTTGAAGAATGTCAGTCTCTCTCGTAGTGGAAGGGACACAAAATGTGATGCTCACAAACCGTTTTACAAGTATAGCTGTGCACTCAACAACAATTGAGCAATTTTATTTTGCATTTTCGTTTAACAGATAGGCCAACTCGTTGTACAGCCGCATTTCCTTGCAGAAAGTGAACACCTGCTCAGTAGTAGAGTTGAAGCAGAACGGAGGTGTCAGACGGGTGCGCAAAAGAAGAGCGAATGACAGACATGAGTTGGCAAGATCTGCAGGTAACCGGAAGGATCAACAAAACAGCTTGACAGAAAAGTTCTGCTCTTGACCACATGGGTTGCATGTACTGAGCAGAGTGAGACCTCAAAAACTAAACTCAAGCAGTGGACGGAAAATAGCAAATGAAGTAGGCGAACACACAACAGCAAAACGAATGAAATACTGGGCTGTGGAGCTACACACTCAGGGCAATATAAAAAAAACGTTGATCAGAATATCACTGCGAAATCAGATGAGTTAGAAATTTGCATGTGATTACACACCAACTTCTTCGGCTGTTTTCTAAACGAAGCGGGATGATTGACGGCTGACTTAGAAAATAAGAGGTCGGGTAGTCAGTGAGACTAGAGTGAAGATCATCTGGTCGAGTGAAACGAAGCAAAGACAGCATCTCAGCACACAGCAATAGGGTTAAAGTCTGTACAAGAAGAAATAACAATAAGACTTGAGCTGCGCAATATTATAATGATGCGAAAATTTTCACGGACGATTACATGGCAACATCAAAAACATGGATAGTTGTTGGGTGGAGAGTGCGAGTTCTAGATAAGGATGGGGCCACACGACTGAGGCGACCGAAGTGGGCGTTGAGCACGGCTAAACGGATATCGCATTGGGATTATGTTAGCGGATGTAACAATTCATTGTTCGGATGGACTGTTTCGTGAAAAGCGATTGACTACCACTAAGAAGATAGGTGCGGCTACAAGTGTGCTCTGTAGGCGTAGGGAGTGGACAGGATCGGAGGAATGTAGAGACCAGATAGAACAAACAGTTTAAAAGTGAAATATTCTCTACTTCAAGATGGAATCTGATAGAAAGAGTTATAACGGATACGAGTGCTACTCGGAAAACGCAGTATCACTTCTCGGTCCGGTACCACGAACAAGCAGCACACGTGTGAGGCCTTCTGTGAGTGCTTCAATGTAGTCCATGTAGTAGTATTCGCTACCGGGACTACGAGAGGGAGTGGGCATGTTCACTATGACGAGGTCTGCGTCACTAGAATGCGTACGCAACAGTTCGTTTAGGCGAGCGGCGCTATGCATTCGACGTTCCATCTTTGATCTACAAGGAGAAAAAGAGGAAGTTTAAATATGAAAAAACGGATCCGATCCTTTCGTGATTGTGGACATCATTATGATAACTAGTTGAATAGGATGCCTGTTCGTCTCACACTCTTCCATCTGCTGTTCCTCTTCGCAATAGGATGCCTGTTCGTCTCACACTCTTCCATCCGCTGCTGGGTTCCTCTTCGCCTAATCACAGAGGGGGTTTTCAGGATTTGTAGAAGTCACGATCATATCACGCGTTTGAACACAAGCAAATGTTCGGCTGACTCCACATCAAAGGGGGAATCACTGGACCCGATTTCCGCTCCTAATATAGCTTATCAACAGTGTTTGTTCTTGGTCGTACCGCAGTTTGAACTCCGGACACTGAGACGGAAGGCGAACTTGTTGCCACTACTCCACCAGCGAATTCTTGACAAATATGCATTTTCACGCCCAACGAACGTGTCGACGCTTGTGCGATGTGGTCCGTTTGCTCGATGCCTCGAACGACGACCGAGTAACCGTCCCGATTGTGTTGATCGATTGACCGGTCGACCTGTCAGAACTTCCCAGCTAGGTAGCGCCACGGGGGCTCAGAATGTGCTGGACAACTTTTGATTGGTTCAGGTGGGTGCGCGATTCACAGAATTCACGCTAATGTGCATTGGTGGACTAATGTTCACACGCTTGCCTCGCATATGAGGTGTCAAGTGTTCAAACCCCGACATATGTGCTTTCTTATAGGCAGACATCCAAAATACAGGATCAACTTTGAACGAAAGACAGGGTCTGAGGGTTTTCTATGAATGCTTAACTCTATGGTTATTGTACAAGGAAGAAAACCCCATCTAGTTTGACCAAATCTTTAGTCCAATGCAACGCAAAATTCATCAAGTGTTACGTAAATGAGCCTCGCAAAGCACACTGATGGTTTCTGTGGACAGAAAACACAAGAATTATGCTTATATGAATGAGTGTGGTTATGGACATAAGTGCGGATAAATCACCGGCCCATAGGTCATGGTCCGTTGAATTTGAGGGGAATACAAACATGGTAAGGCAGTCAGATTTGCTATTCGGAAATACCCATCAGGCTAACAAACACCCGCCTGTTGCAGGAAGGACTAAGATGAAAAATCCATTCAACTGAGGCAGAAGGACAGATTGAACTGGTAAGAGCAAATACCATATGTCAAAATATGGTTGTAATCAGATACGAGTAATGACAGGTCGGAAGTTGACATAGGAATAACAAAGTTTGCAACAAATCTATCATCTGTAAGTAGCAAAAATGTTTCCACCTAATGGGTACATGCAGTGTCTCATCCGTCCCGAAAGTAGTGGCATGGACATTAAGTATCAGTTGCATCCCATGTGGCACGTAATCTTGTCTCATGTGCTGAAGCACTGTTAAGATCAGGCATACGAATCATGTGATGGGTGCTCTAAAGCAACAAAACATGCCGCTTCGTACCCCAGAAATGTCAACAATAATCGACGCAGTGTGATTTAGAAAGGGCTTGTCAACCAGGTTTTTACGGCCTTCACTAGGCACTTAGTTCGACTTAATCGTGCGAACCCACTCAAATCGATGACAGTCTTTTGTCTTCAGTTGACACAGATTTCCAACAACAAATGGAAAAAGGAAAACATAACACTGAACACAGGATGACACAAACAACACTCCTCTTCATCTCCACTTACTCGGACGAGCCAGAAGTTCACGTTAGATGACCTATTGTTCCACTGACCTAACAGTGTTGGAGGTCTTCCATGCAGGGTTCGACCACTGGATGCCCAGGGCTGAAGCCACACTTAATTTGAGACTGTAACAGCTGCCCCGGGGCATTGTACGCTAAGAGGTTCCGTCTGTACAGCTGTGTGCGATTCGCTCGTTCATCGCCAATCCAAAAACTGGATTAGAGTTATTAAAACTATCGGCGATGCTCTAATTCCGATCCATCCCATAAGTACGATCAATTTGAGACTGTAACAGCTGCCCCGGGTCATTGTACGCTAAGAGGTTTCGTCTGTTCAGTTGTGTGCAACTCGCTCGTTCATTGCCAATCCAAAAACTGGATTAGAGTTATTGAAACTATCGGTGATGCTCTAGTTCCGATCCATCCCATCAGTACGGCTGCGCACAGATTATACGCAAAATGAGGTTAACAGAAAAGTTGAACAAACAGCCATTTCGGAGAAACACTTAGTGTCGCATGTCCGAAGCTACTGCAAATGAACGCATCCACTAAAGACTGACCATATACTGCAAGTTGGGTTTTTGTTTTACTCAAAAAGCGAACACTGCAATGCGTAGTGTCCGTTGTAGGTCTCAACAGAAAGCAGGTGGTTATGAGTCTTTATTCTTGAATTAGCGTGCGAATTTGTTTATTCTCCACGAGCTCTACTGTAGGGTTGCCGCGGTGGATGAAAGCTTTCCTAGGACCGTTTTCTGAACCTTTCAAGAAACACGAACACTCCAAATACATACACGTTGCACACAAAACTATGACATTGTATTTCATTCATAGCTGTGTAGTCATCAGATACTCAAGATGATTTACCGTTTTGGACCACCTCCTGGTGTAGTGGGCGTTACGGGTGTCTGGTTGCCCAAATTTGTTTTCGCCGTCAGAGCAGCTGCTTCAGCTACCTTCCGCGCCAGAGGGTGCGAAGGGGAGAAGGTGAACTCATTCAACTGACGATTTGGCTCCGTATTCAAAAGGCTTGAATTTTTGTCCCCTTCCGATGTTCCATTCAAAAAGCGTTCACGGGCAGAAGCTGCGGGTCCTGGACCACTAGCAAATGTCACGCTACACTGAAGCGAGTTTTTCACACCGTCTCCAGTAGTGACCTGAGATAGAAGTGGGATATTGGACAACAGTTCATCACGCAGCCGATCATTAGGAGTCTGGAATAGGTAGCATTGATGAAAATAATCAGATAAGTCTGTGGCAAGTTCAATATTAGGAAATACCTTGCAACTGTGCATGGAATCCGCGTCGGACCAACGTTCATACGCATGGTTATTTGTTGAACGAGTTCACAACGGTTGCATTTTTCTCAACGAGATGCACTGGTAATCTGATGATCAGGTAGTCCATCTTAGATTGTCAATCGTGGGATCCAGATATTGTTTTGATTTTGCATTAGATATGACTTATATAAGTAGAAATTAGCGATAGCGTGACGAAAAACCTGTGTCGTTATGCTTCCATCGACTGTGACAGACGTTGGAGGATGATACACTCAATCAGCCCATGCCTGAGATTTGAAAACGACAGTAAATCTTCGACCAGAAAATAGAGAGAGTTTTTGGTGGCATTAAATTTCCTAAAGGGTGAACTCCTTCACATTGAAGAAAAGCTTGACACCAATTAAACGATACAGCAGTTCATAGGTCTGCAGTTCTTTTCCTTATAGGGGCATTTAACGAGCCTGATATGATTGTTACTCACTATTTCTGGCATGTCCCCAAGTGATTGTTGGATGCTCTTTAGATCCACTTGTAATCGGGTTTACATACTAAGTGACAATACACCTTGCCAAAGCTTCTTGAAACTTGTAAATTAATACGAGTTTTAGTAACGTAGCCGACAGCTGAACATACATGCACAACAGATCATTGGTGTACCACTCACTGAGTGTGCAAGTCACGTTCAAATGTCTGAAGCTTTGATGAGAAATATAGCGGAGCCAAACACATGATTATTCCTTCTCACGAACCATTTTTACCGTCTGTCCTATTATGTGAAGTTATCCATATGCCCACTTTTTGTGTTGATGTTAGTAGAAATAAAAAAACTCATTTGTGGATTCGTCTGCACCCATCGTATAAAAACCCACTACCGATTATTTTATGACCGGGTCATAATATCAAGACTTTTGATTAATTAGCCATTAGAGGACAAACATACGGATAGGAACGAACAAGCCAGTTGGGCTCAAACTTATTCAACCATGAGTACTCGTCGGCCGGACACACAGACATTGATCCGGAATTACGCCTTTTGGACCGTCAGCTTGGGTAAGCCGCTCAGATCAGAACATAGTACGACTGGCTTGCTATGACCAGATAATTTGAGGGGGAATTTTGAGTTTCCATTTTTCACGACAGAAATGATACAGTGTAACTTTGCTTCCGAACGCAAATGCTATCACCCAAAGGAACACAGCCGTCGAGAAATGGATCGATCACACACTCTCAGTTTCACCTAATAGCGGCTGCAAACAAGGTAGACATTCTAAACCGTCTGCTACAAGGCGCTTCTACGTAATTCCCCAAACAGATACACATTTGAGAAGTGACCAGTCGGAGGGCAATCGGCAATATCACGCGCGACAGTGTTGAAACGAGTCAAGATGTTTCTTCGGAAGTGTTCACTGTATTCTATGTGAGCACTCCTTGGTTGAGTGAGTGGTTTGTATACGAATCATTTACGGGCAAACTGATACCCTCAATTCTTTGGCAGAAACAAGCGCTGGGACGTTATCCACGATGGAAGCTACTTGCCCCATGTTTTTGGTACTCACTGTGCCTCTGGATTAGTGACTTGGGATCGGGTTTTCAGTTTTACCTAGAAATGTAGAGGGCGCCCCTGATGCGAAAATATTTCTCGCAGCGACACAGCCAAACCCGTGCGGAATGCTGAGACTGGACGAGTTGCTAATATACAAGTACGAGTGTCTGAAATAAATAAATATAAATCGCCTCGTTGGGCATGGCGAATTGTCTGGGGGAGTTTTTCCGCAGAAAATTTCTCGATGTAAAGATTTGATAATTGTATGAATGGACAGCTGCAATCGACATAAAAAACCTGAACCAGCGGCAGATCAGGTGAAGTGGCTTCGACAAACAGACAGAGCGACTGCAGCGAATGGGAAAAACGCAAAGAAATAATCACCTAATCTAAATTCTTATCTAGTTTTACCCTAGTAATTGAATACAGTCATCATGGCGAATTACCAAATAACATCTGCAAGAACCTAAGGTGCTGGAACTCGACGATATTTAAAGGAAGTGAAGTGGCAACACGTAAGATGGCGGGGGGGGGACAGTTAAGTGGTTCATGTAGGCTACCATGTACGATGTCTTATAGAACAAAACGGCACGTGTTGTGTGAAAAACTGGCTTACGCGGAGAGAGGTAGGATGTGCTGGATGCACCCAGCAACGGTATGACAGATTTATTATTTATACAGTTGCTTCATGTCCGATGAGGAAAGAATGGTTGTACAGAAAGCGGGAGTGCACGTTGATAGACCGCAACCTAAGGCTTGAACACATACCGATACAAAAGATCATTAAAGATTCCGATGAGATAACTGTTTTGACAGGAGTCCTAGGATGCAGGAAAACCAAACAATGGCACAGCTGATTCCGGAACATAAATGGTGATCGATGCCCACTGATACTAGAGAAGTTTTTTCGCATTAAGTGACAAATCCGCAGTATTCACTGCTGGTCGTTTTCACGATTGGGAATCAGCTGAGACTGGAGATTTTCATCCGAAAGGTTGACATTATATGGAATACTAGGGCAGAGAGACAAAACCGAATACGGTCGCACACAGTGTTTAGAATCCGGATTTCCTTGACATTTCTTGTGATCAGTCAAAAAATATTAGAATCAGGAAAATTGGCGCCCAGATACTGTTACGCTGGGGCGAAGAAGGACACCGTATATTATCCATCATTTTTGTAATTCATCAAGCTGCTTTCGACCAATGCACGAACCTTGATAAAATTTTGAAGATAAGGGATTGTAACGGAGTCGCTTGAAGAGAATCCCTGATCACTGTGATTTGAAATCTATTCAATAAAACCCTGTCTATGGTCTGGCAGAAAGTCACTCTAAGGTCGACACTCAGTGTAAACAGCAATAGTTCGACCAGCATCAAACGCTGACAGCTCTGGCCTCAGGCGAACAACTGATGGTGATTTATGATTACTTCGGACGAAAAAGAAATGAACTCTAGTAACCTTGCAGCGTCTCCTCTGAGGACAGAAAACTCGACCCAGAATATGACCAGAACAAAAGTGTGCAAGAATAAGCATATCTGCTGTTAGAAGTATGATGGGCAAACAAGCAGTCAAAATAATGTGAGCAGGCAAAGGGAAATTTGTGGTGACGTCCGAGTGGGAACAAAGACATCATTTGTGCTAACAATCGGATCACAGCACATCATGGAAGCCTCATTTGGGGAAGCAGCAAAAGTTGTACGTCGTAATATAATTTGAGGAATATAACAGCCAAATGTATGATATGCATACATATAAATAAGTAAATAGATTGCAATGCTTATGAAAGGTAGTCAGCTCACTTCACGAACACCAACAGACAAAGGAAACTCCTATGAGGCAACGAAATGAACAGAAAAATAATCTACCTCTTTCCAAGAAAAATCTCGAGTCGAATTCTTCCGTGAATCCAAATAAATTGGTGCTCAACCCATCCACCGTCGTGCTGAGCAAGTCATCAAAAGGAAATCTAGCTATGAATGAATGATCCTATTGGTGTCTGCACGCAGCTTGAAGACCCATTTGAGTGTTTGAACTACCTGGGACCTATTTCCAAGCAGACACAGTTGATTAGTGGACGAAACCTACCAATACAAACAAACTCAAAAACAATAAAGCCGGTCTCTCACGTTGCGAGTATATCCATGAATTACGCTCAACAGCCTATTCTATTACCAAAGAAAAGATACTTCCTACAGCAGCGCACAGATTAGGATGCTCCAATCACCGATTTTGTGTCAGAAGAAAAGAAATTTCAGACTACTCGGAGAAAAAAAGCGGTTCAAAACGTCAAACTCTGCTTGGTAGTTGTTCGGAGGGATTGCACAAAAAAGGTCCGGTAGACATCGGTACATTTCAGCTCTTCCCTCGCTCTTGGTCTGCAACACTATGGATGTGTGGACTACTAACAACATATCAAACATGCGCTTTCATGTATGGCCACCCTTATCATAAGATCACTTACTGACCAGGTAGAACCTGTCAGGTTCAAGATGACCACTTTTCACTTCCGTGACACGTTTGATTTGTGAATCTACAGGACACATCAGTGCAAAAGACAATGTAATGTCCTCATTTGATCTTGAATCCCGCTTCCCAGTGACCCTATCAGTGAGGTAGCTGATATCAGTTACGATTCTGTTAGGCACACCAGTCTGTCACCATGATTCCACCTGGACGATAGATGTAAAATTTTCTGACTTTTCACAATCTATGTTCAATTACAATCATTTTTATGCCGCAGCATGAAGACTAGCTACCGAGTGTGGAACCTGATTCTATCGAAAGAGTTGATCCTTCTTCAAGTGCACTAAAACTATCAGTGACTAATCTTCCATTAGCCTGGTAACCCTTTGACCTTGTTTATGCTGCTCATTCACACGATGATTCTGAATCTTGGAATTACACGGATTGTGTCACTCTATGCGTTGCATATCTCACTTGTCCCGGTTTGGTTCCCGTACTGAATAACACTTAGAACTTAATGCCTATGCTCATAACTAACCGACGATCGATTTAACCTGCTTATCTGTCATTTTTTGACCCTATGTGAACTTCTTCACTGACTGCCTACAAAGTTGCCTCCACGTGACCTTTTTGTTAGTAAGCTTTTCCTCCACAATTTGTAGACCAACCGATAAATAAGTAAGTGCTGGAATGTGACCGAAACGTTAATGTGCAAGATTAGTTACGCCACAACTATGGTTATTTTTAGGCCCTAGGTAGAATTGTATGTTGCACTCAACAGCACACCTCGCTTATAAATCATCGGTCACGTTCCACACTGTGAGTATAATTTTGCAGCACTTTACAAAAATGATTGTTTTGTTGTTCGACATCCAGTGCACAGCCGGCTTGAAAAATAGCACATACCTAATAAAGACTGTGGTTTTGATACACATCTCCTTCTTTTGTACAACGCTATGCTATCAACTTTCTCCTGAGATTCAGATTTGTTTAATTCATTATTACTTACAGCCTAATTGCCTGGGATCATCTTGCATAGCCTCTCTTCCTAAAAGCCATCAAATTTCTTCTCAAATTAGTTGCCTACCGCTGAACTGAGTCTTGTAAAAGGATACTTTTGAACAGAATGAACACAAGGTTGGATGTGGATGGGCGATCATATACACGTTTGACACTGGCGGGTTTTGTGCATTGCGTCTCCTCAGAGATGGACAAAGCTGCCTTCGAGAGTCTTATTCGCGGTTGTCTACTTGAATTCCCACCAATGATCTCGTCATTGACGCTATCAACATCTAGCACGACTTCTCCCGAAATGGATATCCTTCTGCCCTACTTCTCACTGAATGTGGTATACTACAAGGAGCCATTTAGTGACCTTCCTTATATCCCACCTTTATAAAACATTTTTCAGTGCCCGCTATCCTAGTTGTTTCGAAGTGATGTCGTTCCCCGTTCCCCGTAGCCTGGTCATTAGGCCATGCGTTTGGTGTTGTCAATACACTTACTATTAATGTTAGATGATCCCTTTATAAAACATTTTTCAGTGCCCGCTATCCTAGTTGTTTCGAAGTGATGTCGTTCCCCGTTTCCCGTAGCCTGGTCATTAGGCCATGCGTTTGGTGTTGTCAATACACTTAATATTAATGTTTAGATGATCCTTTCAACGTACTACTCGTTACTAGTTTCAACATGACAATATACAGAGCATTACTTCTAACGGCTAGCCCATTCCAAATAGATGTTCCTCTAGATGTGATTTTACCGCACAAACTTTCTTGGTCCAAGCAAGTAGAAACCTTTTATTCTTTGGGATTCAATTTTCTACCTTATCTGTGGCACCGTATAATTGAAGCCGTCATCACATTCCATATTGACTGTCGTTTTTGAGTTCTGCCGTCGTTACAAGGGAAAGGCATTTTGATCACTCGATCTCTGTCATACAGATGTAGTGAACGAACCAGTCTTCCACTTCTGATGCGTCGGATCATTTTGTTGCTCGTCCAACCCCTCTGTGAAAACGGACCGTTAACCAATCTGGTGCCGCACAGTTTGTCTTGATTTGATGTTCCGTTAAAAAATACTGTGCACAAAATGCCTGATCAGGAATGACAAATGCAGCATATAACAGACCATATTCTCACAACACAGACATTCAAAAACAGTGGTTCGTACCCGGGTAAGAACAGAAATTAGAGACCTAGTTTCCGTGATCCTAAATACAGTCTTGAAGGTTATTTCCTCAGAGCACCATTTGAAATATTAAACCAGCTACATCTTGAATTCATATGACACAGAGACATCTTTGCCTGCAACAAAACTGGATGGTTTCTGGGTGCTTCGGAAACAGCCAGGTTTCAACTGGGTTGATCAGCGATGCTACGCTACACAATTTGCTTCCTCACGTTAAACCCACCTCACCAACCCCGCTCTCCGGTTGCGTTTCATTTGATGGACCGTTGCTGTCCGGTGCAATGACGACCTTCGGGATATTGGGTAGTTCATTAACAGGCCGAACAGTGGCTTCTTTGCCTGTATTGGGTAGTCGTGCGTCTTCAGGTTCGCCACCCGACAACGACTTGCGATGTTGATCCACAATTACCTGTGGATCGTAGCGGGCCGCCGTGTTGGCTAATTTCATCTGCATTAACATTTCTCGGCGTTGTTCGATGTTTGCGGTACGCTGTGCAACATAGGCCGAGATGTCAGCGGTGCTCTGGTTCGGGTGTCGAGAAATAAATGGGAAATACACGAGGAAATTAGTGAGATGTATGAGTTTACTCTGTAATGGATTGCGAATGATCAGCACCTCCGACCAACGACGAATAACTGAACTCATGAGTGAAAATATTCTTGCTGTAATGAAATGGGAAAATGCCTCCAGTGCTGCAAACGAATACACTGGTCGAACTATGTAAAGACTGTCAAGTGGGTCTGGCGAAATTCATCCGTTTTAGGGAAAAAATTCCGGTTTGTTTCAAACGACTAACTTTTGAATTATAACGCTACAACCGAAAGGCCCTCGAATCAGCTCCATACATTTTGATGCAAAGTGCGACGTCCCATCGGAATAAATTCACCACATCTGAAACAGTTTAGCGTGTGCAAATTGACCATAATTTGTTTCTAAGAAGCTCCGCAAGTGAGTCAAATATAGTCGATCTTTTCCTTGAAATCAGCCAGCTATTCTCTACCATTTGGTATCTCATTTCACTGTAATCTGTTCCATTGGCGGTCCCTAGGTTTCTTCAACAGGTGACCATCTTATATGGCAAACAAAAATGCTTGGAGTAGACAACTTAGCATATTGATCAACTGTCATTCCGTCTGCATGCGAAAGCAATCCAGTTGCAGGAGGATTGGTTGCAAGGTGATGTCGGGATTTCACACTGGATGAATGCAACCTAGTTTATCCAGGCCTTGGTTTTTTGCAAGTTTATATAATCAAACTGGTCAAGCTGCGCACACCATATAGACCACGCATATTTGGTAGTGTCTGAAAGTGAAGGGTTCCGCCCACATCAAACCGAAGTCGAGCAGAATTTGCCCACAATGCACTTTTATCATACAGCTTTGAGAGAAATTCGAGGGGGTAGTTTGAGGCAGAATAATTTACCCTACCTGTGTTGGTGTAACTCAAACGCGTATTCACAGTCATTCAAAAAATGCGTATCGTTTTACACCTAAATTGCAATCGAAGCACTACGACCGTCGTTCCGTCTTTTCTCAGGCATTCACGTGTCCACTGACGGAAAGCTGGCAATGAGATACGTTTCAGATACAGCATGTTCATCCATCCTCGTCTAGTCTTCCGCCACATTGAACAAAAAAACCCTAATCACACAGGGATGTTCATTCCACTAGTGCGTTGACGAATAAAGGGAAAATCGGATTTTGGTGCAATTTATGTTTCTTTCAACGCACTTCAAAGCGATTGTATGCAAATGTATTTTCTAGTTACTAGTCACTACGGAAAAGTTTGGCTCATTTCCGTTGAGTTAAACAGCTAGCCTTGACTGGAATTGCGGTTGGGTTACCCAAGAGCAATGCGTGATCTGAAGCGCACATGACCTAGAGATGTACCTTGGAAGAACAGGCGAAAAATTATGTAGTTTAATTTTTTAATGACACAGTAACCCTCCCAATGGTTACTCTTACAGCTGAACACTATTACTTTAAGTGTTATCGATTATGCTTTGTCATCTGCTTCCATCTCCTGAGGAGGGAAATATTTCATTTCTCAAGACGTTGAACGACACAAAGAGGCTTCTTTTGAGAATGTCTTCCGACCGATATGTATCTCGCAATATGATACAATTTGTACAAGTGAATGATGGTCGTTTGTACGTCATGTCTGGCGGACAATTTAACTAGCCAGCACTACGGATCTGCAGCAGAAGAAATAATTTCCCTAAACCTGGCGTTCATGTATTATGCGTACACTTGAATCGGTAGTCACAACAAGAAATATTGGTGTTTCTTACAACCAGAATAAGAGGGTTCAGTGTGCCAGAATTTCGCGGTTCATTTTTGCGACCCGGTATCGAGCAACCGAATTACAGAGTTTGTGAGAACGAGGCAAGAGGCCATTCAAAGAGAAACCTTGACTCGGGTGATAAGAACAAACAAGGGACTAGTGTACCTGATCTAAGATTGATTCTTCCAGAAACAAGGCATACTTAAAGTTAACTTTTGCTAAGAAGAAGCTAGTCAAGGGCGTATGAATTTGGTCACGATTCGGAAAGTGGCTCTTTATGTCTAGATTATTGGGCGACTTCAGCATGATGAGGCATTTATCTTGAACTGAGAGAACATCTATTTTCTGCCTCCAACTTCCATGCCAAGAGGACGGGTGGGTAGATTTAACCTGGAAATAGTGTGCGATTCTACGCGGCCTAAAAACCTCACTCTTGTTAAATCCGAAGGTCTCTATGAGTCTTTGCATGTGTATTAGAGTGGATAGCCCGTGCGTCTCGAAACACTTTCATATAAAGATTCCTGCCAAATGTTTCGTGATACAGGGTACACAATCGTCTGGAGTTTCTGGTTTTGAAGAATACTATACGATCTGACCAGGTGGGTCGTGCAAGATGGTACGCAGGCCCAGATAGGCACTGTTTATCCATGTCTTGGAATTATATGTGTACCAACCCCATGTGAATCGTACTTCTCTTCCAGTTCGTTTATTTGCATGAGTCCACAAAAGTCGAGGAGTCGCCACCCGAAATTGTGCCCTCGTTAGAGATACTTAGCAGTTCATATTCTTGATTATGCGAGAACTTGATATTGAGACGACTGACGTGTGTGACATGTATACTGTCTTACGTGAACACGTTAAAGGCATTGAGACATCACGACTGAGCAAACAAACCAGTCCGCGCTTAAAGCAATTCGGTTGGCTAACCAAGTGATTTACACGCAAAATAGCTTCGCTGATTGTTGTTTCCGTATACAATTTACTTCTAGTTCACGTACCATCAAGACACCATCATGTAAAAAGTAGTTAGATGGAATGTCATTCTTCAGTCAATCAATTAGTATGGTAGGAATATACAAGCCGAAGGCCAATATTATTCCCTTATCTGGAAGGAAAAAACGATAAGCCCACAGGGGCTTGCCTATTTATTACACAAAAACGCAGTCATTGGGTCACCAAGCTTGAGTGACAATCGTCGCCAGAGTTTATGCATAGTTGCGCCAGTGCTTAATAGACAGGAAACCTCGTGACCTATCAAGTGATATAGTTATGGACATTGTTAGTGGTCGGCTATGCTGATGACAATCGTTCCCAGTTGATAGCCCTATGGACGAGGGGCGCATATTTGGGAGAGTTCCCAGGTCTGAGGTCTCACCTACAAAACTGAGGAAGGCACATTCAAATCAGCCTGTGTAAGAAGCCTTCGAACTCTTTAGGGCCGCTGTTGTTCTATGAGGTATTTTCGAATTCGCCATGTTTTGAAGTGATATTTCTCGATAGTAGTGATAGGGCAGATAAAAGGTGCCCTGTACAAGTAGTGGGGGGTGCAAGCTGTTGCTTTCACTGCTATCCTTTGTGACGACAGAAAAAGATTAAGATATTCGGACTGAGAATGAGGTTCGGATTAACAGACTCACCATGGCCACAACATCCACAGTGGCGTTGATACGCAGATCGTACATAAACTTCGTCATGTCCTTCTTCAGGTTCACCGTATCATCGCCCTCACTGGCGACGACAAAAACTCGCAAATCACACTTTCGCCAAACTCGATTGCGCATAAGTAGGTACGAAGTTAGCAGGAGCAGGCCACCATCATGTACAATGCACCACACATCCACACTTCCCTCCATCTGTTCTGCCTTGCTCTTGGGGAATGAATCGATGCCTTTGGCCACAAGCATGGCCACGTCGCAAGCTTGTGCGGATTTCACGGTGGCTGCGAAGAAAAAACCAAAGAAGCAACCAGTGACGGCCAGTTTCATATGAGTCTCCAAAAAGAATCAACTCAAGAGAGTTGATTTTGCATATTTGTCACGGAGAATATATTGTCTGTAATTCATTGCTAATTTATGAGTTTCTTACTCTTCGAAACCCTTCTATTATGATGAAACCGGACACAAAGGAGCAAAACGTTAGAAAAGCGAAATCCTTGTGGTCAACACAAGATCTCATGGACATCTGAAAGAACCTAAAACCCGACTGTATTCAACATGTGTATCAGCAAAGAAAGTGCTTTCACAACCATAGGCCGCATGATTTCTGAACCTGATCAGGAAAGGTTTTGTACAAAACTCAATCATTTCTAAGCTTTAAGATACACCGATCCCCTATTTAGCGAAACAGGTTTCAAAAGAAGATGTGGAAAGTATACCATCCACACACTGTCCCTGGTCAACTCAAAGAATCAACTACAGCATATTCTCGAAGAATCCAGATAAACGAATCCGAAAAACCATCTGCGTTACTGATCCAGCCAGTATCCCCACTATCGGTCCTGCCCTCGTCGTCATAATTATCTCTTGCATTAGTATTAGTCTAAGAAATTAATATTTCCTTGTTGTGATTCAGTCGGTGTATTAGACCGACTGTTGAATCTGTCTCTGCGACTTTTCAAGACCACTTTGAAACAAGATGGATTTACAGATCCCTAAAAAGATGATACACACAAAAAGTAACCGTAACATAAGCACCAAGCTGCAGGGAACAATATTGATTCCAGAATTTGTCATATGTACACAGCTGCCTCTACAGCTGTTCGACGTAAAGGGAAATTTACTGATCCGAGTTTAAAAATGCTAACCGACGGGAAGATTTTGAATAAAAGTTAAGTGAATGGGCATTTGTCCTTGGATGGGAAAAAGGGACTTATGACTTTATTGGTCACAAGTGCGATCTTAACTAGCAATTACGATGCCCGCATTGATCCCAAAGACAATGGACTTGTTTGATAGCAACGAGACTGTATAACATATGAATAGCAAACTGTACACCCAGGAAGGAAACTGCAGTTGAAAAATATAATTACCACACGAGTTTTGAGCAACACCTTATTGAAAATCAGGACATTTCGCCCGGGAAAGAATCAGTCCAAATTGTGAGGACCTAACAGACGTAGGGCTTTCATTTTCTCACAAAGCCGCTGTTTCGGTTGTAGCTGAAAAATGTGCTTGCACATTGTTCTAAACGATACCAATACATTCCTGTTGTAGACGCCTTCTATTAGGGGGCCGGCAATAGGAGCCATGTCAGTTGGATGCAAGACTAATGAAACTGTTCACTTTGCTTAGCGTGAGAGCTTCGGAGATTCGGGAGGCATATGTTCATGCAACCCAGTCGGTTACCAATGCAACTGTACGATGTATCCGGATGTTAGCCATCGACCACTTTCAACCCTGCTATAAGGTAGAAGCGTTTTCGTGCTAGCCAGAAAGACCAAGATAAAGACTACGATAAACTTCAGTTTACGGCAAAACTGGTAATTACGGGAAGGTAACCTATGTCTATCACAGCACACATTTGGATAGTGTGACAAGAGTGTTATCCAATCAAACCTCTCTCCCTTAGTTGACCGGTGACCCAGGAACGGGAACAGCTACTACTATCATCACAATCTTCCCCCTTTAATAAACTAGGCTGTGTCGACTCGGTTATCCAAAATAGGCCTTTTTGAAGGGCGTTTCCTCCAAGAGCATTCCTCAAGGAAGCAACTAACGGAACTCTCGCTTCGAACTGAAAAGAAGACTAGGAGTTGGATCACAGCTTTGTAAGATACATAGGAAATCACCCCAGTCGGAGCAAAAGGATCAGTGAGATGTGCTACTCTTGTCTCCGAAGATGGCTCTTTTTTGAACCGAGTGCAAGGCTTACTACATAGGCAATGATCCAGAGCTGCATAGTTATCCATAGCTGTCCATTGCTATCCGTACGACAATGCATAACCTTGTTCGTTTAGTAAATCGCATAAGGGAAATCTCACATCGGTCAACCACGTGACAATCCTAACGATTCTTGCTTTACTGATCAATTTGGATGGCACTTACAAGGATATGCCTAGTGAATTCGCAATGGCTTAAACTTCACCGAACCAGAGAACAAGCTTACACGTTTGTCTCTGGAAATAACAAGCAAAGGTTCAGCGGATAAACAACAATCCAAAACAATATTGATGACCGGCTCGAAAGCTGCTAACTACTTGTGTCCACTAGGTCGAAAGTGAAATCTCATAGACAAGGTTAATGTACTGTAAATACGCACGCGAAACGTGTATAGCTTCATAACGTGCAAGCATATGAACATCCTGCGGTTCTGAGGGCAATAGTTTCACACCAATATCAGGAAGCTAAGAATGCGTTGCCACAATCGGCTGGTAAACAACCTCGCCCTTTCTTGGCAATCTTGGCATGAAGTTTATAGTGTGAATTTAGATCTCAATAACGAGCTGCCATATGTGCGGAATGCGCAGAACACCGGAACCAATCAGAAGTTGAATGTGTCGGATGCGTTTTGACTATTGCTTTCAGTCGACATATAAATATCCCAAATGAATTCGGCTCTCCGCACAAGTGGGAAAAGAGGAAATCGAATGAAAAGAGAAAAAGGTGGGATTCTGGTGAATTGGTTTATCAGAGGAGTGAGTACCTCAATAATATGTGGAGGAACACCGTGTTGGCGATGCCACGACCTCGTGGCGGTCATGATCCCAACAATTATTATCGAAATAATGAGGCTTGTTCCTGTGAATGATCATGAGGTAGGTGTACAAAACAATCTGCATGATATTTAATGCTAAGTAGGCGGGTCAATTTTCAGTGGAGATCGAACATGTTCACGCTGATGATGGTCTGTGATGCAGAGGTTATGATAACGAAGGAAGTAAGAATAAGGAAGTCAGTCTACTTTGTTACAAGAGTGTCTTGCTGGTCGAGAGAGACTGCATGTAAGTAATCGACTTTCATTTACGGAAGGAGATACGCAAGACGGGTAAACGTGAGCTCAGAATCTGTTGGCAGACGCGATTTCAATCATATTGACCTAGTACAAAGAACGGTATATACGACTTGAAATGCACTATCTACGCCAATGGTGTGTCCGGACTGAAGATCTGCGGTACGATGTATGAGTTGACCTCGGATCAACTTACAGCCGTGACGCCAATTATTCAAAGCAGCATAAGCAATCTTATGCCCGACACAAGCATTTGAAAGAGTTCAGATAGTGGCAAATGTCAACACAGGGTGCGTATACGACTCATCTTGAGATTTTGTTATGTGGAGCGAAACAGTCGTCAGAACAATCAGCTAGTGTTGGATGCCTCCACCGGACGCTTTTACCACGAGCTAAGTGGCTAGTTCGAGACCTAAGAGGTTAAAGCAGAACAGGTGACATTCACGCTTGATACTAAGCGTTGCTCGACCGTCAACTGCTTCATGATATTGGGAAGTTTACTTGAAAATTCCCTTTTAAATGGGAATTGCATTTCACGCCATTTCAAAAATCTTATTTTTATGTGAAAACAAACTGCAGTGATATATAGCAACCTCAAAAGGACTACAAACTGACCAAAAAATTACACCTGTAAAAAACAACCTGTGCCTACCGTAGGGCACCCTTTAGACTTTGAGATATAGACTAAAACCATCAGCAACCTTTCGAACAAACTGCAGATATGATGGATGGTGCCTATAACGAGAAACTGTTTACTAATTCACTGATTGTTATTTATCTAAATGTCTTCCGGCGAAAGTGAGCCTGGTCGTGGATTGGCCAAATCCAACATTTTGTCGCCGATGCCTACATGAATGTGCCTGATAGTTTAACTTCGTTTAGCAGCCCTTCGTCGACAGCAAATCTTCGGTAGTCATCTTCATCCTCCTCATCAGCTCATCTACACGCCTTGAAATCCATGTGGAGCACAAGACAACTATCTCAACGTCCATCAATCGGATTTGCAAGCAAAGCGTTTTACGAAGTCCTTTATCAGCACACGGTAAAAGTAGCATGCTGATCGCGGATAAATCACAGTGGATCAGGAGAAACATGGCAGTGCGTTCATTCGTGTTTTCAATAATTTCATTCTAAAAACGTCAATCATAAACGCCTACAACATAAGGTTGACGGAAACTCGGGGACTGCGCCTACCTTATGAGCCCCAAGAAGGGCGAAACCGGTCGTGGGCTGTCGGAGAGTTTTCAGCAACCTTGTGAGTAGTTTCCTTTATGAAAACACCCAAACCCGTTTATGGAGCAGGCTGCAACCGTTTTTCAGTGCGCCTACACCGTATCTGATACCACCGTGGTGACGGACCAAAGAGCAACGTTACTAGATGACTGTAACTTGTAAACTGATCTATACATAAAGTCTGCTGATAGAACCTTAGATATCTTAAGGCCACGAAAATATATTTCCCAGTATCGAGAAAAGTCAACGACAAACTGGCCACCTTTTTTCCTCTCATGTTTTTATCCATTAGCATTTCTCTACAGATGCCGATGGAAACCATTTGTCCACTATTTGGTACAAAACGGTCATTTCACGGTAAGATTGATACAAAACGCAATTTACAATCAAGTGCTGGGTAGTCAATCAAACAATTACTCTACGGATATCCCTTGTTAATGGATTGGCCGGAAAAAATGTGGGCAGCGTGTCGGAAAGCTCAAATTGTGAGAAAACCCATACCATCGTCGCAACCAAACTTATATGGGTGATGATTATGGAGAAATAAGACCTAATTTCAAACTGGCAAACCTATCGAAGTGGGCACAATGACCGAAATGAGGACTGTACTGGAAGACACAAATATGTTGTTGGTAGTTTTCAACCAGATAAAATGCATCCGTCCATAAATCGGAACATAGGACGTCTATGAATACGGCAACAATCACAGAAAATACAAAGATAAGAGACTTTGTCAATATCTACCGACTCATCTCTAATGGTATCACTGTAATTATATCTTGCTCCTTAAAATTACTCTGTAGTTCCCCTGTTCCAGCAAAATCGCAAATACATGTGGACAGACGTACTACTCAAGTCGATTGGTGAGAGGTCCGATTGAGTTTGACGTTATAGCGGGGTATAATCCACCGTGATAAATGTGTAGACCAAGTTTAGCTGCGTGGTCATGTTTCAGAGTTGAGTTCAGGTAAATTGGAGTTGAGGTACATGATAAGAATGAACACAGACTTGCCGTAACTGATTCACATCAAAGTCGACCTAACTTCCAGCAGGGATTTGATAGGTGTGCAATCTTTCAACCGTTTTGGCAGATCCACTCAAGGCCTTCTGCAACCCTATCACATGAGTTAGTATGCAACCTTGAATTACAAGTTGAGGTCACAACGGACGAGTTTTGTATGCTTCAAAGCTTATAATTCGGAAGTACCTGTTGTTTAGCGTGACAAGATTTCAGCAGGTCCTAACAGAAACAGTTGAATAATACGATTGAGCGGAAAGATATCCAGTTGTCCACTCCCATAGCGAACGCTCTGTGCATTTTTTCTTGTTGGAATTAGTGTAGTTGAGCCACGTCCACTAGAATGCCAACTCAAACCATACATTAACCCATTTACTACACATGAATTCATTGTTCAGTGGCTGCAGACGACTGCTACCGACTATGTTTGGGAAACGCCTGCGTTACTGAATAAGGCACGCGGCTGGATGATTGAAAGCTGAAGCGATAAAACATGAATTGGCCCAACTCAATCCTGCATTGTCGATGTCACCCTGATTGGTGATGAAACGTTGGCAATCCAACTGCCAAGCTCGGTGAACAGACCAACGATAAAACAGCGCACCCGAACCTAATAATGATCGTTCAGCTGTAGCACCATTTCTGTGCCTAACATCCACGCAACCTGAAGGAAGCACGAGGGCCGGGATACTGTCAGGTTGATCAAGCCTAGATAGTTGAAGTCAAAAGGCAGAGGTCGGGTTGGAACCACGGACCTTTCGGTCAGTAAATTCGCGCTCTAACCACTGAGCTATCTAGCTCTCACTATGGTCCATGTTGTTGAATGATCCATGAGATTACTAAGTCAATACAACCTCCGGATGACCCATCTGTAAGAGTCTGTAAGGAGATTTTTGGTGAAGCACTGAGATTCTGTACAGCTGCTTTGGTCTGAAGGAAAACTCTTACGCCTGAAGACATGACAGTAAACTTTGGAGTTGTTTAGTGACCACAGAAGTGTCGGAAACTGACTGGCCACTGATGTTGGCGAAACCAAGTTATCGATTAATAAAGGTTGTTCTGCATCACCAGAGAATTGGGTTTTGGGTAACACTAAAAAGGCATGTGTTGTACCACTCTACCTGGAAAACATCAGTGAGGAATTCGAACTTGAACGGAGCTTTTGGCGCTGGTAACATTATCGCATGATTTAGTCACTTCTGCCTGCACAATAGGCATGCACGATTTACACAGACAGTCATGTTGGAAAGACAGCTGGGACAGATGAAAACTTTTTTTTCGTTAAAAAAGTAGTCAGAAGACTCCTTCGGTTATTTCGTTCTCTCACAGAATATCTTATAGGTGTCCATTATTTTATGTTCAGATATCAATGGTGAAAACGTTTGCCATTTTATCAGCAATACACTGGTTCGAATCAGCTTTCTGAGAGAAAAAATAGAGACGTTCGGTTATTATCTATTATTTCATCATTAGTATTCCTGGTTCTTGAGTGAAAACATATTTTGGTGTGAATAGCATGAATTCTAGTCTAGACTGTTCAGCTTGAAGCTGAAGTTACAAATCCGAACCAAATAATTGGACACTGTATTACGGACAATATGGAGGGAGCTCGTAATCTAATCATCGCTGATGCTATGATTTATCGGCTTCGTATTATTTAACAAACGTTACCAATTCTACACTGGTTCACAACACCCAATGATGACATGACAGCTGATAAGAGGAAATTCAACGTTGCACGTACTTGTTGTCAACCCCACAGACTTTGAGTCGATGAATTTCAATAACGACCGACAGGACTCTTCATAAAATCAGATACCTGAATCCTATGCTGATTGATGCCCGCGGCAATCAGCATTGGTAAAAACTGTGATACCACTATATGATGTCTGTACACCGTGTTTAAAGGTAGGGAGTATCATTTCGCTGGTAATCATGTGTTTAAAGCCCAGCAAATCTGACAGTCGCTCTTTTCCTGTTTCAGATTATGCGCTGGGGAGTATCATTTCGCTGGTAATCATGTGTTTAAAGCCCAGCAAATCTGACAGTCGCTCTTTTCCTGTTTCCAGATTATGCGCTGGTGGAGATGCATTGCGTAAATGATTCAAATAATCGAGGATGATAGGCAATATTCAGTTGAAAGATATACCAGGATGAGTGACAATTCCGGATGGTAATCAACTGTGACTTGGTGGATAGCACGTGATTTGGATGACGGAAAGGTGTTAGGAGAATCAGAGCAGAGTGCTAAATGAGTAGTGAGTGGGGAGATTTGCTGGAGGCTAAAACGCACATATGCACGTTCATTTGCGCACGCGTGTTGATTTGTAGTGAACAGCTTGCCAGGAAACGGTTGAATGAATAATGGACTTACAAATAAACTGTGACAGTTTTCGGCCACCTTGTTCACAGTCCGCACGCCAATCCTCCGGAAAAGAGACCATTAAGGTGTTATGACGCAAGTTTCCTAGCCCAGCACACTGAGCCCTAAGGAGTATAGAGTGAAATATAGCTGGTGATATGAGGAAAGGAAAATAGACGCAAGAATATGGGCGAACTGATAAACAGACAGCAAATAATGTTAATTTAAGTGTCAAATAGCGAAACGGTCCAATTTGTTCAATCCACAATCCCACATTTCATCCGTTGTGATGACTAAACAGGTTACACAAATATCTATGCCTGTCCAAATGTTGACACAATGTGTCTGAGATTGCAGCGTTTCGTTTTCTTCAACCGCTTTTCCAACTTTAAGATAGGTTCGGTTCTACTGAATTGATCTCAAATGAGAAACTTGAAACAAGGCGAAACGTTACCCCAACCAAAAGTTTAAAGATGCATGTTTCGAGCTGCCGCACATCAGAAATCACTTGTTTTGTTATGTTTCTAATGACTTCTCAGAAAGCGCTTACGTAGCAGCTTGACACCTGGGGCGGGATATGCTGTGGTGAACTACGATAAACGTCACGTGAGTTGAGGACTGACATTTAAGTGATGGGATTCATATCACCGGTATTCCTGTACAATTTCTGTGCAAGATGTCCCCAGGAGAGAAAAAGTGTGCATTCTTCTATGATGCGCATTGGCCACAGAAAGCTGTTTTTGATCACACGTGACGTCCTCTTAAAACAATGTACGGTCATGTACAACTAACCCAAACAAGATTAAAACGAATGGGACAGTTGACTTGTGGGGAATAAATGGATTTGCATGCACCGAAATTCAACTGCTAGAAAGCCAAACAAGTTTGGAGACAATTTCGCATTCACCACGATATCTGTTCACGGAATCTGCACCAATTTTGTCGTAAATGGTCATCGTCAGACCGTTAGATTGTGCAAAACGTTTGATTCGAAACACCAGCAATGGTATCGCTAATGGATTCATAATGCAAACACACGCAATATGTTGTATCATCACTGATCTAAAGCATCGCAGACTAAATATGATGGGTCGGCTTCGAAAATCCACAGGTATACCACCACAGCGCTGTGAGCAGTGAGTTATGGTGCAATTATGCCACAAAAATGCGTCGGTTTATTCAGAGTGAACGCAGAAGTAACGTAAAGCGTAACGTAACGTAAAGCAGCGTAAAGCTGTCTATATCTCGTGGTATCCGTTGCTGGTCAAGCAACAAGCCATTCTCGATTACTTTTGTGCTCATATTCGTCCCTACAATGTTAAGTGAACCACAACTTCGACAGAAACAGCTTACGGGATTCCAACTAAAATGTGCTTGTGAGGGATGTCCTGTACATTACTACTGTTTTTGTCATCTTTATTCCAGAAAATCAATCCTGAGAATTTACACTCCACAGATTAAATTACACTAAATCTATCTAAGCCCAGCATGGACAGGGGTTGATTAGTCTAAAACTGCGCTTCCTTCGATTAGCAAATATCTGGGAGTCTACTTGCAATAAAAAAGTATCCTGGCCGTAGAATTCGCTGGTCAACCATGTTGTTGCTATCCCTCAAGCATTAGTTCCCAGAACTGTCGAGGTCATATTCTTCTAAAATGTAACTTTGTGCTTGGTTTTGTTGATGGGTAAAGGCTCCCGATATTTTTGATGGCATTCGGGAAGGAAAAAGCTGCTTCGTAAGTTTGTAGTTCAAGATACATGAATGGTTTGGACTTGTTTGCTAAATTCAATGAATAAACCATTCGACATGGTTATTATCAATTCAAAATTGCGTATTTCATCACTCGCGTGCAATCTGATGTCTAACCAGAGCATAAGGTGGATGAGAACATAGGAACCACTCTTATCTGATAAGTTCCAGGGACGGCGAAACCAGGGATGAGTCGTCGAAGAGTTTTTAGAAGCTTTATGAGTGGAACGCTCTGCCAGTTAACAAAGCTTTAACAGACCTTAGTTACGTACCAGTTGAGTATCTTTCTCACGGGAGACATCAGCTGAATGACTTGAGTTGGGACCGTATCTACGATAGGATAGTATTTTTCTTGACCCAACAGTGCTGCAAGTTGCTCTCTTTTTAAGACTCATTCATTCCACGAATTTTCCAGCAAGCAATAAATACGTAACCCAATTACGCACCAACTTATGAACTAACTTGAGGTTACAGTCCGGCTTTCAAGGAAATAAGATTGACGGAAAATCGGGGACTAGACCTGTCCGCTAAGCTTTCAGAAAAGCAAAATCAGTAGTGGAACGTCAGGCTTTTCGGAAATCGTATACTAACCTAAGGCTGGGCCAGAAGAAACAAAATATCACATTTTCGAAATTTAGGATCATGCACTTTTCTTGGACCGGGCAATCCAATAGTTAGAATTGCAGGCTTCTATTTCCACGACTCGGAAATGGAACCTTTGAAGTTGATCGTCGGCCACCGTCTGAACAAATGAGTTACACAAGTTATACCATTAATAAAGGATAACAAAACGTGCTGTTTTGCTGTTGCGTATAATCAGAATCATCACCTACACCATTCAGCCTACAGCATTCGAATTGCATCCATCAAGGTAGTCGTTCAATTTTACCATTCAGTCTCTTTCACAATATCGGTAACCCACATTAAAGCGGCAAACAATGAGCTGCGATCAAATTATCTCTTCGGAAGACATCTCAAACCTTAAACTCAGCTCTTCTCAAATGTTGACTTGAGAAGTTTTGAAAACAACGTGTAGTGTGTCAATGCGGTGCAACCCAGATACGTAGATGTGAGACGTCTTTTATCATCCGCCACCAAAGAATAAAATTTTTGCACAACTTGCATTAAATTATGCAGATATTTTCTCCTAAACATCTCGCCATGAATCTATGATTCTCTCACTCATTCGATCAGAGGTAGTGAGGATTCTTTTCCAGGCCTCATCATTGTACTCTATATTTTGTAGAAAAGGGCTACGCCCGTATCTAAATGCAGGACAATCGGAAAACCAAACATCTGGGAGAGAAATAACGAGTTCGTTGATAACTAGTAGTGGCAGCAGTTAAATTACACGATATTCATCTACGATAGGGTTGAATCCCACATCATGAAACATCCTCTATCATCGTGATTGAAGTAACACATCAATAATCGATACAGATGCGTAGACGATACAGAAAAAGCTGTTGTGAACTTTCTCTCTTCTCGTTCCAACTCACTGGGAAAATAGACCATCAAGGGTGTCCAAACCGAACCTCCTAGCAAGAACACAATCTTTCACTCGTGATTCCCCTCAAATGAGATATGAGGGGACTGTTTTAAATCGAAGTGTCTGGTATCCCCAACAAACGCTTTGCATTGCTGTGGGAATCGCGACGAATCTTCACATTTTTGGTGCCCTTGGTGGAGTAGTGAACCCATAAATTGTCCATAAAAATTTTCAGGAAGATTATATTTAACGCCTTACGGCTGCTTATTGCGGTATCGCTGAAGACACATACAACAACTTTATCCATTAGTCACAACACACAATCGCGTCATTCTTTCTGAGGACACAAAGTGAAAAATTATGCCGCTGGATTCAACATCATAATCTAACAGAGAGTATCCAGTCCAATCGAGAACGCTGCGAATATGGTCATGCAGCATCAGTTGCTTAATTTATAATACAGGTACTGAGTGGCTGTTGATCGGATCTATCGGATCAATATTCTCCAAGCATAAAATATTATCTTTTAGAAGTTACAAGTGCGTCAGATAAAAGTTGATCATACAATCAGCGAACAGCTGCTTTGTATAGGAGTCGGGGACCTGGATGACCAAGTTTATACATAAGCCGATGATCGGAAAAACGGAAGAAGAAGCCTCTCAGAAACCACTTGAGCATTCCACTTGCTGTGAGAGGTCTTGAAACCGAAGAGAAGCAAAGGCAACGGCCGACAACAGCGTTGTGTAACACAAGACGTGATGTCAACACGATTTGCTCGAACACCGACCCGTTATAACTGGATAAACTGGCGAAAAAAATGACTCCTCTTAGCCAGTCGCTTTGCCATGGAAACGAAACAGGAGGTATGAAGAACATCAACATATCTTCAAACAGTTCAGAACATTCCATTTCTAACCGTAATGTTAGATATTCTTCACCACTGTGTGCGAGACTGTCAGATAGTTGCTGGAAAATCCAGCTTTAATGAGGTCTGGTAGAGGGCAGACACTGATTACTGTGATACTCACATGTTCTTCATCCCTTCGCTGATAGTGGAAGACACAAGCACTTCTGGTAACCCTTTGATACGGTGTTGCTGGATCAACTCTGCCAAAGTGTTCTTCGCTTTAGTAGCATCTTCGTGACGTTCGACGACATCGCCCTCGATAATACAAACGACCAAAGTAAGACCTGCACGGACAACGACGCACAATGAATATCAATGAGAAAGAGTACAAAAACGAGGCTTAAGTTACAAAGCTCGTGGAAAAGACGGTCTTACATGGTTGTCATTTCAATAGGGAGATCGAAATAGGTCAGTTTTGATGACTGGGCTCTTCCAAAAAACGGGAAAACAGTATTTAAACTCTATTCTTACGCGTTGTTATTCCATTTCATTGTCAGCAGTTTGTCAAAATTAGTTTGTAACCCCTGTCGCTAGGTTGGTAGTCATCTGATTAGTTGCTGCTGCTGATGCTGATGATGATGATGACACGAGTGAAACATAGGAGGAAAGTTACAACACACAAACTACGTCCGCTACTAAGTTGCTCAAAGCACTGACGAATACATGGTCGACACAAATATGTCCACAATTTATCTGATATTTGCCTCAATCAGAAGAGGAATAGACCTGAAATGTATAAGACAAAAGCCCAGGGCATAATAATCATTCTCCTAATTATTAGATATGAATTGATCCAAATGAGTAGAACATTTTATCACGGCTTGTAAGCTCCATCTATTTGAGCGCACTACATAAAAGCATCAATCACTACTGAAACCCGGCTTGTCGGCCCGCGTTCACAGATTAGCTGGGACAAACAATATAAATGATGGCCGTCTTATGTGTGACCTATACAAAAGCCTATATATGCTGGCGCCTCGGCACGCAATTCGTTGATGCGTTTCCGCATAAATATTCATCTACCCGTACCATTTTATTTCAACCTATAAATCCACATGACAGAGGAAATCCATCAGCGTTCTTCAGTCACGCAAAGGATATGAGGCACCTGAAGCAAACATTTACAAACCAATCAATCTGCATAATTTCAGAAGCAGAACGTGAAACGAGTAATTAAGTACTGAAAACTAATTAGGTTGAACAACCATAACCACAGCATCAAGTGTTTTTGGAGAATTTACGTTATAGTGGGGCGCAAATGCGTGACGTCGCATACCTCTGTGCTTTAACCAATATTTTGTTTAGAAAGCATTGGTCCGCCCGCCGTCCCACGTATCTCTCGTATCTTGCCAGAACTGACATCACCGATACTCTTCTATCAACTAGCGTTCATGTAGACAGAGTGCTTATTCACATGTGTGAGCAACCCACATGCTTATGGTTGCATCGCTTTCCGAATACTGTTTTCTCGTCAGGGAGTTTTGAAAAACAAAAGGCGGCTACGTATTCTACCCTCTTCTGTCCCCTTCTGGTTGCTGCGTTGACGATGATCACAAAAGCCTAAAAGGTTACCTCCTCCAGTAAAGGAGAAATTAGGAGCCAAACAGCTGGGTTGAAACTATGGAATTCTGAACCATACATCAGACCAAACTCTAGAGGAAGGATACACGTTATCCTGCATTGGTGTATGTATGAATAATCCGTGCCGAAAGGATCGGAATCATCCCAACATGCTGCCCCCCCTGCCAGTTCCGTTCTTTTTCCCATCCTGGCATAAATAGTCTAGTTGATCCATCCAAAACGGTAGAAACGCGGCTTGAGTCTTATTCTCATTAGGGCTTATCATATATGTACCTCGTTGGACATGTTTGGATTTGGATCCCGGATAACTAACAAATAAGGCGGGCGTGTTAGCTGCCATCCTTGACACAATGGGAGCATCTGACCGAGTTGACGTCTTTCAGCTTGAGTGATGAGATTGGCTTGCCAAGGGCTTCGTAGTTGTCCTGGAGGTGTTGATCAACACCAGTTACACACCGCCACGGATTTTGGAAACGTTGTGGACGTTATTATTATTATTATTACTACTACTATTATTTTTGGCATAAACAGTTGTCCCTGAGCAGTTTTTGGAGTGAAGCCACCAGCTCAGAAAATAAAGGAATCACAGTGACACTTCCGAGCTGAGAAATTAGTTCACTAATAAGGATTGCGTCCATTTGAAAGGTTTTATTGTGAAGCACAACGGCACCACCTGAGCCCTATCCTTTGTAACGTAAAATGCGGATTGAAACAACATACCTATATACGATAACCTATACGAAAGCAGCGCAGAACGTTCAGCGATATTTCCGTCATATACACTATGATTACCGTGATCAGCTGAGTGATGTGAAATCTGTAACCGTTTGTAATCGCTCGAAAAAACAGCATTATAAAGATTGGGAAAATCGACTGAGTGGAAATACGGGTGTTCATGCTTTTTCGGCGTCTTCTTTGCGCAATAATAATTTGGACGAGATGGGAAATGTACGAATAAAACAGTTGAGAGACAGTTAATCATACCATGACCAGCCTTCAGCTGATGTACCAAGTCCAACAGGCCGAGATGACGAAACTGGAGGCTGTCATCCACAGGCAAGTATACCAAAATCTGAGGTCGCCAGTTCTTTGTGTGGATCGGTTTGATTCCCAGTTTCAAAATGGCTCGCGTTGCTGTGGACATCTGGAATCCTCGAGTCGCGTCACCCCATTCCTTTGAGGCACTGAATGAGGAGGAAGGCGGTTTGTGATGGTGTCGAATTACACGTGAAGTGACGGATAAAAAGTATGAAAAACATGAAATGTTTTTCGGGTAAAATGGAATGCGGAAAATCTTTGTGGTGAATTTCCCCCCACTTAACAATAAAAATATATAGAAAACAGAATCATTTCGTCGAGAAAGCTAGATGGCCAGTGGATAAATGTTCGGTTTTGCAGTGCAGACAGAAGTCGGCAGCGAATCCTGGAGTGATCCCAGTGGAGGTAGTCAATAACTATGGATGTCTTGGTGATTTCTGACAATCAGATAAACGCTGTGATATACTTGCCACTTTGCCATGTAGGAAACCAGTCGTCGGACCTTTTGGTCGCTGCAGTGGTCTAGGTCTTCCGTAGACGATCACTCCAAAACAATACCAATACAAAATCCGGAGCTCACTAAAACGTAACAATTTTTCAGAAGTCTTTTTCCGGTCACTCCCAGTCAGTCAAATCAATCCATCTTAAAATACCATTGTGGGTCAAGTCCTCCTCAAAATAAACGACAGCAATCACTAAGTTAGTAAAGACAAGAATTGATCCATATTCAGAAATAGATATATCAGCATTACACCTCTGTTTGGAACGTATGTTATGACAAAACAACCTTATGCTTGGGCTACCATAAACATGCATAAGCTAGAAAGACAGTAGCTACTTGATGGACACACTAATAATTTCTTAAAACAAACCAACGAAAGTTTATTACTCAGTACGTCATTTGGATGTTTTTCTAAAAGGACCTGGCTCGGTAGGGTACTGAAAATTCTTCGAGGTGTTAGTCCGAAGACCTAGTCGTTCTAGTGACAAGGGAAATCTCACTGTCAAATGTTACAAGCGGTATAGTGGAAACAGCCAACTTCCTTAATGTTAAGCTACCAGATATGGTTGGAGCTAACACTGAATGAAAATCCCGATCGAGGTGTACTATATTAGCAAGCCGAAAACAGCTTCCCAGAGGAGTAGCAGACGAGATAGTCTGTCTGGTTTGTACGGAAACGCACAGCTTGGTCAGTTGCAAAACGTGTTCAATCACGCGCCTCAGACACAGCTGTCCAATACCTGTCTGCCAAGAGATAAAAATCCTGGACGAACAAGTCGGCAGGTTTTGCTGTGACAGTGGAAATTGGTGGTGAGAGGTTTCTTGAAACTAAGTGAGAGTCAACGGTGCAATGAGACTGGGTCAATTTCTCTTTTGCGGTCTGGCTCCTTGAAAACATAGAGAATGAGAACGAAGCCATACATCCTGGCGAATTCGCGAATAAAAATCGTGCGCAACACTTATCCAATAGAGTTTTTCTAAAAAGAGAGTGGAATGTCCTGGTCCCAAATTTATTCGTATCAATGGATAGACTGCCTTGCAAAAAAGAAGTGCTTTCAAGTAAAGTGGCTTAGTCACCTACACGAAAGGTATTTTTATGTGTGTGCCAAAACGTAATGAAAACTAGTAAATTCAGTACTCACGTACGGAGTACTGGGCATTATTAGTAATTGTAATAGAATTTTAATTCTACTGTACTAACGCTAGAGGATATCTATCCCTGCTGGACACGCTCCATGGGAGTGATCGGAAAGGAGATTGTGGGACACTTTCGAATACACAAATGTCATCAAGATTAGTTTCACTATTGGATCTCGTACATTTCAAAGTTCATTGTTAAAAAAGCTTAACCGATGTTAACGTACATTTTTTGCATGAAGTAAGCTTCAAGAATGATACCTCAATCAACAATATATGAAATTGCCTTAAAGAAACCTATGCAGTTATAAGGAACATAGGACAAAAGCAGGCAAAATGCTACCGGAAGATATATTGGTAAAATCGCATGAGTCTAGTTTCATACCTAAGTTATAGAAAACGTAGAGGAACTGAAACACCACAAAAAAGACGGACATCAGCCAGTCTTCAGAACATAATGCAATCAACCAATAGCGGACGC